CTGTGCCAGTCATGGATTGTCCATAATGAACACCATGTTCAGACATGAAGGTGCCCATGTGGGCTCTTGGCACCAGGATGCCTTTGGCCGTAGCTCGATGATCGACTTTGTTGTTGTTTCATCTGACCTGCGGCCACAAGTCTTGGGTGAAGAGAGGGGCGGAGCTGTCAACTGACCACTACCTGGTGGTGAGTTGGCTCAGATGGTGGGGGAGGATGCCGGTCAGACCAGGCAGGCCTAAACATATCGCGAGGGTCTGCTGGGAACGTCTGGCAGAGTCTCCTGTCAGGAGGAGCTTCAATTCCCACCTCCGACAGAACTTCCAAAATGTTCCGGGGGAGGCGGGGGACACTGAGTCTGAATGGACCCTGTTCTGTGCCTCCATTGTTGAGGCGGCCAACCGGAGCTGTGGTCACAGGATCGTTGGTGCCTGTCGTGGTGGCAACCCCCGAACCCGCTGGAGGACACCGGCGGTTAGCGATGCTGTCAAGCTGAAGAAAGAGTCCTATCAGGTCTTTTTGGCCTGTGGGACTCCAGAGGCAGCTGACGGGTACCAGCAGTCCAAGCGGAACGCGGCACGGGTGGTCGCCAAGGCAAAAACCAGGGCATGGGAGGAGTTCCATGAGACCATGAAGCAAGACTTCCATACGGCTTCGAGGAGATTCTGGTCCACCATCTGGCGCCTCGGGGGGGGGGGGGGGGGGGGGGGGGGGGGCAGTGCTCTACCAATACTATCTATAGTGGGGACGGTGTGCTGCTGACCTCTACTCAGGACGTTGTGGATCGGTGGGCAGAATACTTTGAAGACCTCCTCAATCCCACCGACACATCTTCCAGTGAGGAAGCAGAGTCTGGGGACTTTGGGTTGGCCTCTCAAATCTCTGGTGCTGAGGTCACTGGTGGTTAAAAAGCTCCTCTGTGGCAAGGCTCCAAGGATGGATGAGATCCACCCAGAGTTCCTTATGGCTCTGGATGTTGTGGGGCTGTGTTGGCTGGCGTGGCTCTGCAATATTGCGTGGACATCGGGGGTAGTCCCACTGGACTGGCAGACCAGGGTGGTGGTTCCCTTATTTAAAAAGGGGGACCGCAGGGTGTGTTCCAACTACAGGGGGATCACACTCCTAAGCCTTCCTGGTAAGGTCTATTCAGGGGTTCTGGAGAGGAGGGTCCATCGGATTGTTGAACCTCAGATTCAGGAGGAGCAATGTGGTTTTCGTCCTGTCCGTGGAACACTGGACCAGCTCTATACCCTTAAGGAGATCCTGGAGGGTGCATGGAAATTTGCCCAACCAGTCTACATGCGTTTTGTGGATTTGGAGAAGGCGTTTGACCGCGTCCCCCGGGGGGCCCTGTGGGGGGTACTCCAGGAGTATGGGGTACCAGGCCCTCTGATACGGGCTGTTAGATCCCTATATGACCGATGTCAGAGCTTGGTCCGCATTGCCGGCAGTAAGTCAGGCTCGTTCCCAGTGGGAGATGGACTCCGCCAAGACTGCCCTTTATCACCGATTCTGTTCATAACCTTTATGGACAGGATTTCTAGTTGTAGCCAAGGTGTGGAGGGCATCCGTTTTGGTGGCCTGAGGATCAGGTCTCTGCTTTTTGCAGATGATGTGGTCCTGTTGGCTTAATCAGAACGTGATCTTCAGCTTTCGCTGGAGCAGTTTGCAGCTGGGATGAGAATCAGCTCCTCTAAATCTGAGACCATGGTCTTGATTCAGAAAAGGGTAGAATGCCTTCTCCGGGTCAGGGATGAGGTCCTGCCCCAAGTGGAGGAGTTTAAGTATCTTGGGGTCTTGTTCACGAGTGAGGGAAAACTGGAGAGTGAGATCGATAGGTGGATTGGTGCTGCATCTGCAGTGATGCGGGCGTTGTACCGGTCTGTCGTGGTGAAGAGAGAGCTGAGTCAGAAGGCAAAGCTCTCAATTTACCGGTCGATCTATGTTCCTACCCTCACCTATGGTCATGAGCTTTGGGTAGTGACCGAAAGAACGAGATCGCGGATACAAGCGGCCGAAATGAGTTTTCTCCGAAGAGTGGCTGGGCTCTTCCTTAGAGATAGGGTGAGAAGCCGCTGCTCCTCCACATCGACAGGAGCCAGTTGAGGTGGCTCGGGCATCTGGTCAGGATGCCTCCTGGATGCCTCCCTGGTGAGGTTTTCCAGGCACGTCCAACTGGGAGGAGACCTAAAGGTAGACCCGGGACACGTTGGAGGGACTATGTCTCTCACCTGGCCAGGGAACGCCTTGGGATTCCCCCGGAGGAGCTGGCCCAAGTGGCTGGGGAGAGGGAAGTCTGTGCCTCTCGCCTTAAGCCGGGCGTACACAGTGCGACTTTTTCACTTTTTTGAGCCGATTTTCCACTCGTGCGAGAATCCACAAGATCGGGGCGAGTTTTGCGCTGATCGTCGTGTAGTGTACAGGGGGTTACGAGAGGCGATTAACACCACGTGACCAGCTACCGATCAGCAATCGTGAGCTCGCACAAACTTCTAGCGTGTTTGAAATTTTGCTCGTCCCTTGTGAGGGTATTGCGCTGTTGAAGCGGCGCTGCGAGCAGCTGCGACCCAAAAAGTACCAGAACTGCTCACGGCGCATGCGCAACCATGCATCAACACCACTCACCCGCTATTTTCCTAATAACACACGCTGTTCGTTTTTATTTCCACACGTTTTTTTTACTCACAAAGATTGTCAAGAAAGCGTGTTTGTCGTGTTCATGTCAAATTAAACTAATCACAAAACACAGATTTACTTTCTTTATTTCGTTTTCCTCATCCAACCCCCATAAATCCCTGTGTGACCTCCTGCAGTACTCCCGAAGGACAACAGGCAAGACAAGACAAAAAAGTCTGACGTGTTGAGTAAAAACTGCTATTTTTAGCATATTTTTAGGGCCGACGTGTTGCTACCAGACGTACAGTGTGAGCAGTCAGGTCGCATCCGAGAACTGGGTCGTGCAGTGTGAGCACATGACTCGTGAGATCTGCCCTGCGAGGAAGTCGTACAGTTTGAGCTGAAGCTGAGTGCTATGAGTGAAAAAGTTGCACAGTGTTCGCCCAGCTTTAGGCTACTGCCCCCGCGACCCGACCCCGGATAAGCGAATGAAAATGGATGGATGGATGGATGGATGGAAGCGTGTCACAGAGAGATTCCCAGTTGTATACTTCTGCTGTTGTGAAATAGGTTTTAACCTACTTACAAGATGTAAATAATAAATCATTTGAATTTGTTTTGCTTTAGAAAATATTGGAATTTGTCCTTCATAACTTTATTTTCATCATGTAATATAACTCACATAACATAACATAACATAATATAATATAATATAATATAATATAATATAATATAATATAATATAATATAATATAATATAATAATTTACCTGTAATTGTAGTATGTTCTTCTTCCTTTTCTCTAAGTCTGTATGATGCTGTATTGTGATTTTCCCCACTGTGGGATCAACAAAGTCTATTATAATATAATATAATATAATATAATGTAATATAAGTTTATTGCCAGACTTAAAGTCCATTTTAAAAGAAAATAACATACAGATAAAAGAAACAATACAAGAAAAACACAAGAAAAGAAAAGATACCAATTAACATGAATAACAATAAGATCCTATATAAAATCACAGGATATAACTGTGGCGGGAGTAAGGGATAACAAAACTAACTAGTTGAGATAAATCTACCCAAACATTTTAGCCATTGCATTCTCAGCCTAGACATACGAGAGCAGCTCACAGTGGGATTTGAGAGCGCAACTATAATACTATTGGAAGATTCGTCCAGCTGTCTCATAGTCGTGAACATTAAATGCCTTAAAAGTGCTTTAAATGTGCACACTCTCACAGAAACAAACATTTGACGAGCACTTCTTCCCCTACGAATTTTGAGGAGGATTCTCATTGCATCATTGTATGCCACTTGTAACCTGTGCAAGCTAGACTTTTTATAGAATGACCACAGATGTGCAGTATGATTTAAATAATGCCACTTTAACAGGTGTGGAACAACAGCTAAATTTCCGTGCAATGGTGTTTGCTTGCACATACAGCTTGCAGCACTGCCTGTAAATGTCATGATCATTGCTCATATTAGCTGTAATGAAGTGGCCAAGATATTCTATCTTTTCACAGACCGCAAGACTGTTGCTGGACAATTTAAACACAGGAAAATTAAGCCTTTTATCCTGAGTGACTCTGTAGATTAGAACAGCACTTTTGCTCGAGTTATATTTTAAATCATATTCTATACTCAGTGCTAACATCTAGGAGCTCCTGCAGCCCTGCACTACTTGGGCTAAAAACTATGAGGTCATCTGCATACATAAGGTGATTAATCAAAACATCACCTATCAAACAGCCTGTGTTACAAGCTCTCATATAATATAATATAATATAATAAAAAATCACTATACTATGAAAATTACAGAATGAAAAAAAGGCTAAAGTCATGTCATGATCATGTTTAGAGTAAAATAAGGTTTTTGGATCTGAGTGAAATAGCAGATGAAATGTGTGAATTCCAGGGAAAGTTGTGTCACTCACTGTGAGACAGGATGATGGGAAATCCCTGCTGGGACCTATAAATGCCCATACAGTAAACCAGCAATCTTGTTCATTTGAGGTCAAAACTTCTAAAACATTTCAGGGTTGAGGCCATGCATGTCCTGATTGGTGAGTAGTGAGGAAACACTTGAAATGCTCTCTCCACTTTTTGTGACGCTGACCATCTGCAGTGACAGTTGAGAGTCTGAGGGAGAAACTGGTCAGATCCAACAAGCTGGTATTACTCGATGATAATATATATATATATATATGTGTGTATGTATACTTTTAGTATTTGCTATTAACTGTAAAAACAGACAGCACAGCTGGAGGTGGGGTTGGATCTGCTCAGATAGACTAGAACAGTTTCAGCTTAGAGCTTCATGTTTCAGGGACTAACTTAGTTCCTATAAAAGGGAGTGGAAGTGGGGGCTCGTGCCCAGCTCTGCAGAGCACTGGGTCTGGTGGGGGGAGAGAGAGGCTTTGTTCTGACCGCCACGCGCGCGCGCGCACACACACACACACACACACACACACACACACACACAGTTCTGAGAGCATAAAGAGGCTTGTGCGGATGCCCGCGCACTGACAGATCTTATCTCTCTCTCTCTCTCTCTCTAACGGAACCACAGTCCTCGCCTGCCACATGGCCTTCACCGCCCACAGCGCGCCCCTGCCGGAGAGCGGCTCACCTGTTGAGGACCCGCAGTTCCAGGACGGTCTGCACAGGAGCCGCAGCTTGACGCAAAAGATCCTGCTGTCGGTGCCGGACACGCACAAGTCCTGCATTCACACTGAGGTGAGAGTCCTCTTAACAGGGCCGTGAGTTCAGGAGACGCGTCTCTGTTCGTTTTGTCTGAAACGGATTTTAATGCTGCTGCGTCACAAGAAAGCGCTCTGAGCTGAAAGGGGCTCAGGAGTCTGGGCAGGAGGGTCTGTTATGTTCTGGGACGTAATTTTGGGGGGGGACGGGTGGGACATGTCCCCCCCACTTTTTCAAAAGGCAGTTTTGGTCCCCTGCACTTTTTTCCGTCCAAAAACAATGTTACGCTCCATTAAATGGATTTGGTTGAGCACTAGGACCGAAACGGAAACCGGTTTCCTATTAGACCCGCCCAAAAGCTAATCTATTGGCTCTGCTGATACTTGCTAACGTATTATTGGCTGTTGCTGCTGTCACTCAAGTTGGAAACAGTCAGAACGTGCTCACGTTGTTTTGCTAGTTTGGAGCCGCTAGGGAACACCGGTACTGAGTCACATCGTCAACTAGACGCTGTGTAATATCAGAGCTCAGCTCAGCTTCCATTACATAACATTTGAATAAGTGTTCATTTGTGAGTCTTTGGTAGTTATGCACAGCCAGGAGGCAGCATGTCAAGAAAACGAAAAGTGGATATAAGAGACTTCTTTCAAAGTCAAAACGTAAGTTGGAACATGTGACAGACCTGCATTAAGCTCAGACTCACCTCCTCCTTCACACACATACTCAAAACTAACTTTTACAAACTCATCTCCTCCACATAACTGACTCCTCAGACACAATTTATTCGTATTATTATAATTATTTTTTTATTATTACTATTATCATCATAATTATTATTACTAGTAGTAGTAGTAGTAGAAGTGTAACTTCAAAACCTTTATCATTTAACTTTATTGTAAACTTATCTATTGCAATGTATATGTTCACATTAAAAAGCTCTGAAAAATGAACAGTATCATCATCGTCAACAGATTTTTTTAAGCTTAATGTCAAAGATGTACACTTCATTAGATTTATCTTATTTTTTCCATTTATTTTTTGTGTGTTGAAATGCAACAACTGTTTAAACACTTTTAAGGGAAAAAACATATTTAATATGTTTTTATACACTCAAATGTTGGGGTGATGATCATGTGTAAAACATTAGTTCAGCATGTCCTCTAACACAGCAAATGAACAAACGGCCAGATCTCAGGAGGGACCATTTATGTATAAATAATTTTTATACTTTTGACTAGGCCTGGGAATGTAACAAATTTTGCTGGACGATATTTTGTCCAACAAATTGTTGATGATAAACGATATTGTCAACATTATCTAGACCAAAATAACCACTAATATAATGTTAATATATCATAATAATGCAAGTACACCCTTTAAAATGCAACAAATAAACCTTCATTTAACATTGAAATGTCCAGAACCAGAACTTCTAAATGAATAAAAATAACAAACAGGAATCTCACTCCCTGTTAGAAAATGTTGCACCAAAAACAATAAAAAAGACCCAAAACAATAAATACAATGGCCTATCCATTGTCAACAGCCAAAACTGCACTTCAATAATGATAATAAATAAAAATAATAATAGAGTTGTACATTTTTTAACTTTGATATGTATGTATATATATATATATATATATATATATATATATATATATATATATATATATATATATATATAGATATAGACGATGGAAAAATTATTGAGATGGGCACGTGACGTGTCAAGGGGTCTTTACATAACACCCCCCACCCCAAATCCGCACAAGCCTGCTGTGTCCCCCCCACTTCTGAAATCAAAATTTCGTCCCTGGTTATGTTATTGATCTGTCTAAAATGTGTTCAGAGCCTGCTGGGCTGCAGCCACCATGCATCTCTCACTGGGAATTAGGGTCTCTAAAACCTGCCCACATCAAAGCATTTTACTTTATTACCACTGGAGCCTTTTATTTTTGCTACTTAATTCATTTATTCAATTGGACATAATATTGCAGTGTATCATTTTAAAACATTTTTGTTTATCATTCAAAACTGAGCTACAATCTGCAAACATAAAAAATATATAATAAAAAAAATTACATTGTGGTAAAATTATGAAGAACTCTGAAAGGTGCCAGAAAATCCACCATAAACGTTCTAAAACAATCTAAGAGGTGTCAAACTGTGAGGCGTAAACTCTCCTAGATCAAAAGAAATGTTAAAGCTGCTCAGTGTGTGGTCACCATGGTAACAACACATACCTGCATCTCTGATCCTTGACAGTAAGCACAGCTAACGAGAGGCGGACAGTAAGTGTCCTTGTGTGAAAACTAAGTCACAATAATAAAAAAAAAACCTTTAAGGTCTAATGTGTGAAAGAAGACAGAAATATCTACATTTTAATGTATGATGTATGGGTTGTTAGAAAAAATCTTAAATTTGATTTTAATTACCAACAAAAAAAAATCTCTAAATCAAATCAGGACACCAGATCATTGAAGTTTGAATAATATTTCTACTATAGTCTGCCTGAGCTTCATAGATCCCATAGGAGGGATCTATGAATTCCCATGTTTGTCTATGCGGAAATCTCATGCTAATTTTGTCTGTATCAGTTTGTGTCGCAACCCAAACACATTAGTACCGATTCTGCAGCATGTTCTAATGTAAAATCTGCATATTCTTGTTAGCGTGGAAATAATCTTCACAGAAGTGCAACCAGCTCAGTAACTGGGCACTCCAATGCATTAAACTTATAACAATAGTACTACGGTTCCCTTTTGATTCTTGAATTGTTGCTGGTAAAAGTTGATCTGTGGGCCTGGAGCAGTATGTCTACATTCTGGCCTTTGCAGTAAAATAAGAGATTTTGTTTTCTTTTATGATATGATGTAAGCTATTTATTCTCTTTTCCAGACTCTACAGCTCAATTCTGCAGAAAACTCCAAGCTAGCAAATATAGCATCCACAATCGGTGTCCCCCCTGCTCCTGTACTCGGACCCCTTTCAGGAAACGTCTCTCTGGTAGGAATTTATTTGATATATCTGTGAAACTAACTTATATTAAAACAAGGCAGGGATCGTTTATACACCCTGCTCCTCTACTTTAGGAGGACAGCTTGAGACGGATGTATGAGGGTTTAAAGCTTCATCAGGAGTTACTGAACCTCATCGCCCCACGACTGGAGGAGAAAGAGAAAGTAACTGATCTGATGGATGACATCAGAGATCTGACAATTCAGATCAAGAAGGTAGAAATACTCCACACTACTGGGAAAAAAACAACAAAAAAACAATTAGCATCTTTGTTACATGTTTTGTTTGTATTTCAGATGTTAAAAACGGGCACCAAGCAGCAGCCCACTATAGCTCCAGTGGCTCTACGTCTACCTGGGAGTTATGAGGTCCAGGTGGCAGCACACCTGACTCTGGTGCAGCTCCAGTCGTTTGGACAGGACATGGACCGAGTCTTCAGGAGTCTGGACCAGAGCAGTTAGGAGACAACTGAAAACTGACAGCAGTGTCATACTTTTCTTTTGGTTCATGCCAAAATCTTAGAAATGTTTTGTTATATTTATTTATTTGTTGACAAGATTATTTATTTTGTAAATCTATTTATATATTTATTTCAGAGGATGGATGCTAGATATTTATTTTTGCAGAAAAAAGGATCAATAATAATAATAATGTGTATTTTCTGAGTTCCTAATAAAAAGGCTTTCTTTTAAAGAGTGTTCCTTTTTGACGATGACACTGCAGTGACTCAACTAGGGGCAAATCTGGCTGACGCAGTCTGCCTCATCAATGAGTCTGGGCCAGAAATTCCAACAAAACTAATTTTATGACAAAAAAAGCACAACTGAAAGTGAAACAGAGGCTTTGGTGCCAGTGTTCCTTCCCCTCTGACAGACACTCATTGCCTTCAGGAAGTGTTGCAAGCAGGAGACGACCCACTGCGTCGCTCAGAGGATGACTCCATCGTACGCCGTGTCATGCGAAAGCCTTGTGAGCATGTGATCACGACGGTCAGATGTCAGCAGGGATCCCAGCCGCTTCCAGGAAAAGCATAAACAATTTGATCTGACGAAAACAACTAAGGAAGCTTGCTTCGGACAAACAGAACAAAGATCTGCATTTTTATTCTTAAGTGTATTTACATTGTCTTCTTGAAACATTGTTTTTATGTGAAAAAAAAACCCATAAAAAGTGCTCCTAAAAGAGAACTACACAGAACGTGGGTGATATTCTACAGAGCAGAGATGGCTTTGGCAGCGACTCTCCTCCCCAGAGGCAGAGTCAGGTCGGTGATAGCCAGGATGATTCTGGGTTTGGCCAAAGCGGGCAGCTTCACCAGCTCAGAGACCTAAACACACAAAAGGACAGGTGATTACTCTTGACCTTTGCTCAGCTGCTGAACCTTTGCTCTGTTTTATTTAAGTATCTGACTCATTTAACTCAGAATAAAGAGGAATGGTTTCTTCCCTGTTTCCTGACCAGTCTAATAACATGAGTCACATGACCAAGCTCTGATTTATAATCCTGTCCCAACTCCTTAACCATGAAGCATCCATGAACTTTTGACCTATCCCCATGCAGAGATTGCTCGCTGTAAACCACAAGCACAGATGTTTTTAGAGATGGAACACACAGTTCATGTAAACGCAGGAAATTCTAACTCTGCCCAGGAAAAATGTGAAGCAACAGCAACCTCTCTCCCTCCCTCCAGCCACTCCTTTGTGTCATCTCCCTCACCCTGCTCATAACTCACCATTGTGAAAGGCATGAACTGCAGGATGCTCCCACGGCTTCCCTGCTCTAGGCAGTCGACACATTCCTCCAGAAAACTCTGCACAAATTGGGTGTGAGGTCCGGCCATCTTAGAGCCCAAGATGGAGGAAACCAGGAGGAACAGGTTGGCTGAGGGGGAGGGGAGAGAGAGCAGACCACACCCTTTACACTACAGTGTATCATTCACACACACATTCACACACTGATGTTGATGGGCTACAATGTAGCCACAGCTGCCCTGGGGCGCACTGACAGAGGCGCCACCAGTCCCTCCGACCACCCCAAGGTGGGTTAAGTGTCTTGCCCAAGGACACAACAGCAGAATTCTCTGTCCGGAGCCGGGATCGAACCTGCAACCTTCCGATTACTGGACAACCCGCTCAACCTGTTGAGCTACTGCTGCCTGGAAGAAATAGGCACTTTTATTTTCTAAAATCACCACTGCAGATAAACTTTCTATGTGATCAAATGTTACCTTAAAAGTTTTCATTTATATTTATTATCTTTAAAAAACCTAAATGTGTCAATGTGTACATTTTGATGTATAAACTAAAAAGTGTCAAAAGATCAAGAAATGTAAAAACTGCTGCCAGTGGCTCATGAGGGTGACCACGGCAACCCCCCACAGACACCAGTGTAAGGCTTTCTGAACCTGAAACACCCTGATGAAGGCCACAAGCAGAAACCTGTTGTTGCTACTGTGTGATGTGTAGCTATCAAACCCTTTTCTTTTGTTTTATTTCAACAAATCGCACCAAACTCTGGTTAATTCTCCTCAAGATTTATATGTTTCTAAGTCTGAACATTTGATGACAGTGTCATGAGCAGAAGCTGGTGAGGAGGACGGCGCTGTGGGACGTGTCTCACCCAGGACTCTGTTGAGAGGGTCCCTCATGTTGACCGTGTGAAGCTGGGAGGCAGACAGGGAGCTGCTCATCGATCGATCTCCTACAGAGGAAACAGCTGATGAAATCACACGCTTTCATTTCATTCACTAACAACAGAAAACAGCAAAAGGGAAGCAGAGGATCACTAGTTCGGTCTTTGCACAAGACAAGAGTAGTTGTGATTAAAGGATGCAGTACTTTTTTCCTTTCGCTGCTTCGTTACATAATGTTATTGTTCCTTAAAAATTCCTTTAGAAGATATTTCAGTTTCATAGCTCAACGTGTTAGTCGTGATGACCGAAACAATAAAACTAAGCCTTCATTTAAAACCCTTGAACAGTTTTTCCTGTTTCAAAATCAGAGCAAAGTCCACACGTTTCAAAACTTTTATCTGTTACTTTTGAAATAATCAGTTTTAATAGTCATATCACAAAAAATAATCACAATTTGGAGCTTTTTACCATATTTTATTATGAGGTTATTTCCTCATGAAAAAAACACATGCTTTGGCTGCATTCATGCATTTTCATGTTTCAGCTGGAAATTTTGATTTTTACTTTGAAAATCCTGTAAAGCGTCAATGGAAACTAATCTTGTCATCAGGCCCTGATGCTCTCCAGAAAGCTAGTTTTTGGTCTGAAACCTGTCTCCTCTGACCAACACAGGATATGTGGCTTAGGTCAGCGATTCTCACCCAGGGGGAGCAGGGTCCAGCCCGCCATGGGGCATTTCTGCTTGGGCTACAGAAACGCCTTAATGGGGGTTACTGTAGCTTTTCACTAACCAATCAGAATGGGCATCAAAATACGTTATTTTCCCTGCTACGTTTGTCAAAATAAAAGTCTGCACTAATTGATCGTGTCACACCGCCATAGCAAAATAAAATCCGCCACACCTATACATTTTTGTTTATTTTTTCAATCAAGTTTTATTTACATAACGCTTTCCACCACCCTCAAGGGGGGCTCAAGGCGCTGGACAAAAAAGTAACAAAGAAAAAAATAGCAAGTCATGAAAACATTAAAAACAAGATAAGAACAGACATAGGTGAGAACAATAAAATGCCAATGAGATAAAATTTAGATTAAAAAAATAAAATTAATTAGTTAAAATAAAGCTAAGAACAAAAAATAAAAACCAGAAACCAAGTGCTTTAGGAGAAAGACATCCTATAAAAACGAGTCTTCAACCTGCTCTTAAAGACTGCCAGTGATGGGGACTGTTTGATTGTGACTGGGAGCTGGTTCCAGAGAGAGGGTGCAACGACTTGAAAAGCCCGATCACCACGAGTCTTAAATCGGGTGCGAGGGACGATAAGCAATTTCTGGTCAGCCGACCGTAATGACCGTGAGGGAATATGCTTTATTAAGAGCTCCGCTAAGTAGGTGGGGGCACTGCCTTGGAAAAACGTAACCACCAAAAGCAGAATTTTAAACTGTGCGCGGTAGGAGACCGTGAGCCAGTGAAGAGAAGTCAGCACTGGAGAAATGTGGTCCCTTTTCCTAGTTCCAGTCAAAAACCTAGCAGCATTTTTTTTTAAAGATATTGTAGTGACTCCAACTTGTTCTTTCTATTTTGGATCTTTATTCCGGGTTACTGTTGGCCGCAACCCGCGCCTTAACTCCAGGAAAAACAACATTAATCTCAGTTCAAACTAGCTCGTTTTCTCTTTCTAAACAACCAAACCAGATTTCCTGAACCGAAATTCTCCACACAACCGGCCAAGAACACCCTTCAACATAAAAAGTCCGACCACAACAAATCGTAACCCATTACACATTTTTTCAAGTTGCATCAGTTCTGGACTAGAGGCTGCTGCAGCGCGGAGCGCGTGGAGATGTACTTGATCTGGTAATGTTGGTTATAGGAACTAATTAGGGTTTCGGGAGTACGATGACTGGAAAAACATCCTAAATAAATAATTCTGGCGAGAGTAATGGTGCGTCTGCATTAATTGCTCATCAACACTAATTCCCTTGAATGCTGCATTTTTAAACACACAGACTTCCAAAATTTCAGACATTTCCAGTGATTTAGTTTGAACAACTGTCCATCCGCAGCTGTTCCTGCCATTAAAAACGCTCCAGGTTGTGCAGCTCTCTCACCCTGTGCGGCCGGTGCACACCGCGGCTCTGATCTCTAATAACCCCAGACCCGCTGATCAGAGCATCGCTCTACCAGAGGAAGAAAGAATAAACCTCCAGCTTATTTATTAATGTCGACAAAAAACGAAGCAACAAATCATTTTACCGTCAGTTATCCTGACTGAAGCAACACTTAACTTCTATGACAAAATGAAAAACATAAAAAATGATTAAATGAATGAGGAAAGTTGGAAATCTTATTTCCGTTTTTACATGTTTTCACTTTATTTCAAACTATAATTTTGTGTTTTCATCCCATTTAGCTTGAATTTTATTTAAATATCTTCATCTTTATTTGTTTCAGGAGCATTTTTGTGTTGCTTTGTTTGAAGAATGAATCAGAACATCATAAAAACTACTAGAAAGATGTATTTTTAAGTATGTTTTGAATGTTTAATGTTCTTCAATCATTTTTAGAAGTATTTGTTGTGCTGAAATTCATCTGGTATGTGAGAATGTAAAACCCCTAATTTTGACATAAACATATAAATAGAGGAAAGAAACATACTGTGATATAGATCTTAGGCCACGTGGCCCATTTCTACCCAAATGAATGATACACCAGCTTTTACCAAGCACCCAGTTATACACTTTTGGGGAATCGTCAACACGTTTGACTAAGGGGGTACTCATGGTGCGAGAAAACGGCTCAGGAGTCCTAGCGTCAAAAAAGGTTGGGAACCACTGGCTTAGGCAACTGGTGTCATGTAGCAGATTTGGTAGTCCAGTGGTTAGAGTACCAGGCGGGCATGTAGTTTTGGGTAAGTTCGCACCCCAGCCTTGGCAGTAACTGTTTTTTAGCTACACTTTTATTGGGAAACTGTTTAAAAGGTAAGGACTAATCTGTTTTTTTACTTTCTTTGGTCATTTAGCCAGAGTGAGTCTATGTGAGGTGAGCAGAGTAAATCAACTAAAATGCTGCTTGAAAATGACCAAATTCAAAGATCTTTAGAGACACAAAATATTTTACAGAAAATAATTAAACTAAAATATGAAAACATGAAATCTGATTCAGGTGGCTAAATAAATTTATTCCGACACCACCGGGATTCGAACCCACGTCAGCACATGGCAAAACTGAGACAGCAGTCAGATGCCTTAACCGCTGGCCTGCCATAGTAAACAGCCTGTATTTGTATAGCTCCATCTTAGGGTTCTACAACCCCCCAAGGTGCTTTACAACACAATCAGTTATTCACCCATTCACATGCCGGTGGGGAGGAGCTATGATGTAGCCACAGCTGTCCTGGGGCACACTGACAGAGGCGAGGCCTGCTGAACACTGACGCAACCGGTCCCTTCAAACACCACCAGCAGGTAAGGTGGGTTAAGTGTCTTGCCCAAGGACACAACAGCGGCATTCTCTGGTGGGAGCCAAGATCAAACCTACAAACTTCAGATTACCCACTCTACCTCCTGAGCTGCCCCCCCCCCCCGGCGGAGGCACAGGAGTAAAGTGCTCGCCCCGTAATCGGAAGGTTGCAGGTTCGAGCCCCACTCAGTCTGTTGGTCATTGTGTCCTTGGGCAAGACACTTAACCCACGCTACCTGCTGGTGGTGGTCGGAGGGACCGGTGGCGCCAGTGCTCGGCAGCCTCGCCTCTGTCAGTGCGCCCCAGGGCAGCTGTGGCTACATCGTAGCTCATCCCCACCAGTGTGTGAATGTGTGTGTGAATGGGTGAATGACTGATTGTGTTGTAAAGTGCCTTGAGGGGTTCCAGGACTCTAGAAAGCGCTATATCAAATACAGGCCATTTTATAACAAACACAGCAACTGACTCACCTATGACACTGTTGTAGTCACGTTTTGTCAGAGCGGGCGTGGGCGGAGTTTCACTGAAATTAAGCATTTTATTTCTGGGTATCAACTCATGCTGAAGAAAATAACTTGTATTTAAGATAAATGACATCTCAATATTGCCAATGGTAATATTTTACCATATAATCTGCCTACCTTTGTTCTCAAAGGTTTAACATAGCATGAAATGGAACCTTTAAATGGCACACACTGACACCTAAATCAACCCAATAACTCAAATCTGACCGAGTGAAGCGTTTGAAAATCTCATGACCTTCCAAAGCTGCTCTGACCACAATCACCTGATGTGTTTGTAGGGGTAAAGGGGTGGGCAGCACCATCAACTGTGGAGCACGTTGGTGGCAGTATCATTATCGGTTAAGCTGACAGTGCAGTCGGCGGACTGCATTCAGCAAAAATAACCACGATGGGTTAGTGTCATGAAAACCAAACAACTTAACCAATGCTGACATAACTTAACTGTTGAATTATCTGAAAACAAAGAGTAAAACAAGTTGCCCTTCAGAACAAGTTTTAGGTCACGGCTCCTTCTTATTAGTCCCATTTGTTTAAACGCAAGAGCGTTTGGTCACTCCCACCTCAGAGTATGCATCTTACTTTGTTTTACCCTCTGATTAAAGCTCCTTGTTTGTTTGTAGATAAATATACATTTAAGCGGCTAAATGATAGGTTGATAAACCACCTGAGCTACATCAAAGGAAAAAGTTTTATCACTTAAACATGAAAATACTCCAAATCTATTTAAGACTCGAGGTGTCTGTGGTGCCATTTAAACCATGTCTTATATTCTGATTTTGTATTGTTGTTCTGTAATTAAGAAGCCTGCACTCCAAAAATCACTGAGCACGGCCGCTGGTCTGACCAGAATAGTTTCTAAATGATTCTTATTTGAGGTTTTGAAAGAACAAAAGCACTTTTACTTTCAGTCTTGACAGCAAAGTGTAAAGGGCCTTGAAGTTTTTCCTGAGTCATGCAACGTCTTGTCTGGGAATTTGTCTCCGAAGCTGCAGCCAAAAACAGGGAAAATAATTAAAAATTCCAGAGCTGGTGATCTGGAAGCTCATTATACTGGTCATGTGATGACGAATTGAGTAACAATACAACACTGCTGTTGCTCAGAGTTTTAATCTGGCAATATTTTAACCCCACATGAGGCTCAAGTTAGAACCTGCAAGCCTGCAAACCTAACGCCACCGTTCACGTCTGGGATCACTGGAAGCCAAGTTTATCCCTTCTGAGTGGGACAAACCGGTTTGGAAGTGGATATTAGAAAAAGCATCTGAATAATCCCCAGCTCAGACCGAGAGACAAATGTCTGAAGCTCCATAATTCAAGCGTGCAACCAAACACAAACTTTATTAGACGGACCTGGACTGGACAGAGCTGCAGGCTCATCCTCATTGGAGCTCAGCAGCCGCATGAGTTTGGACGGCTGAGTATCGTCCAGAGGAAAGAGGCTGTTGTAGTCCTGTGGTTAGAAAGATGCTCATGAAACGCAACCATGACATTACATCACTCATGCATTTCAACATGCCATTCCTGGCCTTTGCAGTTTTACCTCTATGTCTTCTCTCTGCCTTTTTCTCTGCCGTGCTGAGAGGGGGCCTTTGTGGTGAGAGGAGAAAGAGCTGAGCGCACACCACACAGACAACCTGAAGGGGGAAGAAAGTTAATGCAAAGCAGCTGAAATGCAGATTTAACCAGCAGAAAGGAGCTGCTCTTACTTGGCCAAAGCCTTCCCAGGAGGGTCTGAAAGGCTGTGCCAGTGGGCGGAGTCAGTGAGCAGGTTGGGTAAAATGGTACCGAGCAGCGTCAGGGTGATCTGATGGGTGTCCAAACAGAAGATGCTGTAGAGCAACTCCACCACCCGCGTGGCCCACTCCTGACGTGTCTCTTTCAGAAGCTCCTGGAACAACACAGCAGGTGTTTATATACCATCTGAGCTCATATTGGATGCTTTATTCATTCTCGTTACCTTGATCAGGTTGTTGGTGAACCAGAAGACCCCCCCCATGTTGAGGAGGCTCTCAAACAGATGCAGAGCCCGGCTGTCCACCCAGCCTTTGCGCAGCACCACCTGGAACTGCTTACTGAGGGCTTTATGAATTGGTTCTTTAGCGGGCAGCAGGTTGCGGTAGGGGATTGGCTCCTGGCCCTCGACCGGGGCCCGCAGGACGGCACCCGTTTGTTGGAAAACATCGGCGCACATGTGCTCCATGATGGAACTCATTATGATCACACTGAGGAGAGATGAAAGGAGATAATGTGGGCTGTCACCATAACCTGATCACGGTGCTGAATTGAATACATTTATTTTTGTACCGCTCGTTATAAAACTGCAGGGTGTTTTCCGCAAAATTTGGAGTCACGAGCTGTCGGATCATCGTCTGAGGTTTCTCTCTCTCGTCCCTCCCCAGCATCCGTACGTGGGCCACCAGCCAGGCCACTGCGCAGATGGCCATGCTGCACACCTTCCCCTTGATGTTGTCTGTGATCTTCTACACTCAACAGACATGGTCGCAGCAAGAAAAGAGGAAGGAAACGTGGTGAGGAGGATGCAAAGAATGGAAAAAGAGGTGAGAGGATCTGACTCAAATGACATCCTTCCACATTCTGTCACATGAAAACAAAACGCACGCATAAGACGTTGGGCAAAATAAGACGTCATTGTAGATTACGCACAAAGGGTGACAAGTCATGGCACAGTTAAGTGCAGTTCTGTGTTCAGGGTGGCAGACATGATGAGGTTAGGTGAAGACTGACCTGCACAGCCTCCACAGAGAGGACGCCATTCTCCCACGCATTCAGAACTTCCAGGATAGCTGCCGGAGTGCTGAGGCAGATTTCATGCCACTTCACTTGACTTTTAAAAAAACAGACGCAGATTGTTTAAAAACAACAAGACTCCATTAGAAATAGGAAAGCACCTACAAATAAAATAAACGTACACTAGTTTCATCTCTGAGGAGTTGTTCAACAGGGTCACCAGGCTCTCCACTTTTCCAGGCTCAGGCCTGAAGCAGGGATGGTCCGGGTTCAGCGTCTTGCCCTCTTCAGGCATGCACGTCTGCAGCCACGTTTCAAAAAAGGGTGTCTCTCCTGAGGGACTGGGGTCTGACAAGATCACCTTTATGGAGATGGAAATAAAGGAAAAATGAAGCATTTTCTGCTAAAATTGGATGATCTTCAGATGAAAATCCATGTTACTCCACATTCCCTATATTATAGTTGTGTTTTTGGACAAGCTCACCTCAGACCCATATGTCTGCACAACATGGCAGAGCATGAGGAATGAAATATCAAAAAGCAGGGCTCGTACAGAAGCAGACTTAGCTAGGAAGGGAACATCCTCAGCGTTAGTACATCAGATCACCGATATTATGTCATTAAAACTGGAACATCAACTCACATCCTTCTCCACTGATGTGCTTTGGAAACTCATTGAGCCTAGAGGCAGGAAGAATACAAACCAAGATTACCGGCGGTGGTAAAACTCCAACATGTCCTCACCTGCTGTTACATCACATATCAACTCACTTGATGAATTTCCTGGCAAACGATTTGAGTTTTCCAGTGGCCGCCGCCGCTGCCAGAAGCAGATCCAGGCTCTTCCCTGACAGCATGTGTCCAAGAACACCTAGAAGACCCTCGGGTGACTTTGAGTGGTCTGCATCTACCGTCTGATAAGAAAAAGAAGGGGGGGGGGGATGCTTCTTTAAGAGATTCGCAGTTTAGGAACTATTCTGCTTCAAGTTATTTTCTTAGCTCACATCGTTACATGACTCTAGGTGTTGTTTGGGTTAGTTACCTTCAGAATATTGGTGACAGTGGGCTCAGCTCTCAGGATAAGGCCTGGGTTCGGTTGGATGTTTGCATTTTCTGCTGTTTTTAGCCTTGGGGAGAACTCTCTGTCCTCGGTGCTTAATGAAATGTGCAGAAGGAAAGATGGAGGGGGGTGGGGGTAAGGAGACTTAAAACGTGTTCTCTGCTGCATCACATTCATGTGAAACGTACTGCATCATGCAAAGACTCATACCGTTTGGATGTGAGGTTCTCCGTGTTTGGGTCTGACAGCAGCCCCAGCTTGTTGCACTCCTGCAGAAGCATGCTGAGGCAGTCACAGCTATGTGAAGAACGACCAGGAGGAATGAGACGTCTGCAGGGTCTTACCAGATGACTCAAATAAGTTTGAATCACTCACTTGCATCTCTGATCTGCTTTGTCCAACAGCGGGGTGAGTTTAAGTAAAAACTGAAACGCAGCGTTCACGTCCTCAACAAAATCCTGGAAAACGTTTAAACATTAGTCACAGCAAAAATTAGAACTTGTCATGATGAAATCAGTGGGTTAAATACTGTACCTGTCCTTTATCACTCTGAGGATACTTCTTTAGTCTGAGCAGAACTTGTGGGATCTAAAGCAAATAATACGAAATTCATTTTCGATGCCTAAAGCTCAAGAAAACAACCTTCAACCCCTTAACGCCGGTTGTCGCAAATTCGCATCAAACCCACATCTGCTCCAAATGCAACCAAAATACTGCAAGTACCTGAGAAAATCCACAAGTGAAAAAAACTTTTATAATTGAAAATGAATCCAGGCGTTAAGGGGTATGTCGCTTTACTAAACTCTAGAAAATGCTAAATAAAAGTCTGTGCCACGTTAAATGCAGTCATAATAAAGACTAAAGGATTAATAGCAGATGTGGGCTCAGGGTCAAGATCTTTGAATCACATCTTCCTACTTTGAGGAAAGTAAAGGCAGTCCATTTCAGCTCTTCTGTGCCCTCTGGTGACTCGATGAGTCCGGTGAAACACGCCTTCCATATCTCCAAGATAAAAAGAGGAGCAGGGATTCGCTGTTGAGGAAAAAAACAATGAAAGGTAAATATACACAGGTGTGTGTGTCTACAGCGCTGAATCTGGACACCAGGAGCTGTTTTGCACCATTTCCACTCGTTAGTTTTGTCTCTTTAAGTTTATGATGAAAACTTAAAGGGGAATTAGGCAGTTTTGGCTTGCTTTTAGCACCCTCTACTGTCCATTTGTAGAACAGAAAGCAAAACCTATCTCATTACTGTGCGTTTGTCTTTTTCAAGGGAGTCAAGCTCAAATTCACACTGGGCCGAAATGAAAATCTGGGACGAAGTCGCGGGCCAAACTTTTTATTTTTTGAAAAAGTGACGGCAAATTTGCACATTTTCTTTATCAACATATATGCAATTTTGAACCTTTTAACTTTGAAACAAACTTCTTTTTGCATTAACACTGAATGTGGAATAACCAAATTACAAACCAGCAAGTCTACTTTAATAAAAACACATCAGTGGTATTCATTACTTGTGGTATAATCAGCATTTTAAAAATCTATTCAGGATTTATGTTTTCTTGTTTATTCATTTTTCTTATTTTTTATTCTCCTTTTTTTCTCCTGTAATACGCGTCATCGCTGCTGTGACATCTAGCTTTCCCCACTCAGGAACAATAAAGGGATTTTCTATTCTATTCATCTATCTGCAGCCTTTCCACTTCCTGTTTACTGTAGGTTAAATCTTTTCTCACGGGCCGACAACAAAATAAAAATATCATTTTATCTTAAATGAAAATGCAACATCTCACCTGTTAACTTTCATGTTTTGGAGCAGAAAAAGAGCATAAAACCAACATATTTAAAGCTCAGTTTGTTCCACTGGTTTACTGTGATGCTCACCTGTTCCAGCCAGATCCCTGCATCATGGGGTTGATCTGAGCTGAGGAGGAGACTCCTGTTGTTTTGTTCATCTTCATCATAATAATGACAACATTATATGACAACAGGTGCTCACATAGGTTTGTGCTGCTGAACATGTCTGAGCAGCTTGACCACGTCGTTGTGTGTTGGGGAGGAAAAATAAAAACGACAGCAGCCACAGAGTCATGCTGATTTGAGCTCGTCGCTGCTCGCTGGAGTAAAATCAGCTCTGTCTGAAAGTTAGTTGGAAATCTTTCTCTTATAGTCGTTCACACATTACAGAGCGGTTAAAATCTCCGTTTCTGGGCTTCAACGTCAGAAAACAGCTGAGTGAACTTGGCGCTGAGTGAGAGGAGCGTTTAGTTTGTCCGAGACAGCGGAGCTGCAGACACCGGCAGTAGATGCTGGAAAAAACACAAAGGAGGGGGCGCTTTGGCTCCGCGCTAACGCCGCAAACCATCATGGGAGTTGTAGTCTTTACAGTAAAATCGGCCAGCGGGTCAGTTTTAATATATTTTTGATATTTATCTCGCGGGCCACATAGAAATGCTCCGCAGGCCAGCCTTGTGTCTGACACATGTGTTTTAACACCTTAATCTAACAGCTGAAATGTCTCCTCAGCCTTCCTTATACAGGAGTGATTCATCACTAAATTAAACAAATTAGCTGTGTTCGTGATCTAAAACATGAAGGAAACGTGCTAGAAGCAGACTACTGCGTCAGGTAAATCAGCTTAACTTAGAGTGGCCCGCCAGTCTGAAGTTGCAAGTGGAATATTCTGGCCACGGTGGTGAGAGGGGCTGGGTGGCCTTTCATTAACCCTGCAAAGGGTCATTTTGGCACATAATAGCTTGAGAAAATGATTTAAAATTATGAAAAAAGTTGCATAGTATCCCTTTAAATGCAAATGAAATGAAAACACATTCTTACTTAAAATTGTTCCAACTAAAAACATTACAAGGTTCATCTTTCTACAAAAAATAAAAAAGGTGCAATGTGATTGTTTCCCCCCACTTTAATGTTTACCTGCATTCTTTTGATCATCATTAGCTGCTCCACCATGGGCTGGATCTCCCCCGTTAGATTCATGGTCCCCTCCAGCATGATGAAAGCATGAACTGATGGGAAAGAGGCACGGACTGGCGGGTCACTTTGTACCGAGAGCATCAGCGGGATGCTGAGGGAGAAGAGCAGAGATGCAGCATAAACAAGCTGGATTGTGATGGCCCTTCTAAGTCGGGCAGAGGAAGGCTGACCTTTTAACTAGAGACAAGCTTTCCTCTAGTTTAGCTCTGAGTGTTTGGTTTGGCACGTTAACAAGGCCGTCAGACACCTTGAGCACTGCTTGTTCAGCGTTACCCCAGGAACCTGAGGACATAGACACAGACACTTTAAAGGTGCATGAAGTAAGCGCAACATCCTGTGGTCTGCCATTTGCTTCAAAACAAATATGTTCCGAGAGAGATTTGAGGATTTTAAACACCATTGTATCCACAAGGAACACCTTTCAGCTTCTCAAAACAATATTTTTAAATAAATGGTTTGAAAAAGCTATTTTCAGGCACCTTGGTCCTCCAGTCGGGCAATGTGGACCAGAGCTCTGATCTTAGTGCTGCTCATCAGGTGGTGGAGCCTCTCCTGGCAGGCTTTGAGAGCGGCCTCGATGCTGGGAGACGGGCCCAGCTCTCTTAACTTCTCGCAGTAAAACGCACAGCCCTGCAGCAGCCACACGAGCACCCCCAGCAGGGCCCGGCACAGCCCGATGCAGTCCTCTGCTTTTCCGTGACAGCTGAGACACACACAGACAAGAAATTGTTTTAGTTTATACATTTTTTTAGTGGTAGAATGATGACCCATTGACACAATCTGTTGAGTTAGAAAAGATTGAACATACTTGAGACGATGGCAGAACATGTCCATTATCTCCAACAATGACATGACACACAGCTCCCGAGAAAAGCCATCAAACTGTTTAAATGGAGATATTTATGTTAAAGTTGTAGTTCTTCAAGTGATTACTACACCATTGTGTTTATATTCCAAAAAGTACCTTGCTGATGGCTGTTAGTACGCTGGAATAGGACACCATCTGAGACAGGGAGAATGAGGTGCACCATTAGATAATCTGTTCAGCTGCATGTTTGATCATAACCATGGTTCTTCTCTCTACCTGTGAGCTTATAGCATATCTAAGGTAAGACAGAATCAGCGGGTTGGGAGAGGGACCGATCATCGCCTGCTCCATCAGTGCCTCTAAAATACACAGAAAACATTTCAAATCATAGAGGAAGTGTTTATTAAATTAACAGATTATCAACAAATAGGCGTCACAAACCAGCAAAATTAAGGTAGTCCCATGTTTGGCCCTTTGGGAAGTTTTTTTTAATGTTGATGGCCCACTGGTGATCACTCCATCGTTCCTTCCACGCCTGCAAAATGGCTTGTTTCAAATTCACCACCTTCATCCTAGCAAGAGTGAACACACACACATTTGTCATGCACAAAACTCCAAATCCCCAATTTCAGCTAAGGTTTTAGGTATTTTATGGGAAAAAAAATTCAAGTCGTTTCAAGCACCTAAGGAAAACCATGGAAATCTGGTCCTAGGGCATGAGAGACAGGTCGTCTCTGCACAAACTGCTCCCCACCACAGACAACCCATCTCTCTTCAGGACGCCTCACTGCGGTCCTCACTGTTTGTCTGCTCCAACACTTCCAATTCAAAGCTTGAATTACATGATCAGCATGTCAACAAGCTCTGCAGAAGTACCTCACTGATTAAAACCACGCAGTGATTGCTATTGGATTAGAAACCACTGCCCTACAGAGACTAATCGGCTGCTCATTTGGCCATCTCTGCCATAGTAAATATGGCTTCAAGACAACATGCATACCATCGCTGTGCAACAGATGTTTTTATTGTAGATTAATTTTCCACAAACGCATATCTGTTTATAACTACAAATATACAACCATGAAACATGTTACTCTAGTATAGTAAAGCACCAATAGTTTATATTACTTCTGCCTATTCTTATACTTTTGTACTTCCCTGTCTGCTACTCTATCTATCTATCTATCTATCTATCTATCTATCTATCTATCTATCTTGTTAAGTATCTTATTAACAAAGAACATTTTTCTGTAAACGGATAGTACATTATTAGTTATAAAGCAGCCAGGTAAGGTTAAAGAGAAGCTAAAGCCTGAATAAGTCCACTAGTATGAAAAAACGACATCGAAACGTGGCTCATTGCAAGCAAAATAAAAGCAAACGAGGAAGTCTCGCCGCATTTCACTGATATATTCCATACTAATAATAGAATACTAATAGTTTGAACCATTCGTTCAATGTCGCTGAAGCGTGTTTATTAGCATGTTAGCCGTTAGATAGCGACGCGATCCATCAGCTGTTTGAAACAAACAAAAAAACTCAACAGCTATTAAACACACCTATGTCACCGTCAATGGGAACATTTCTAGTCGCACTGATTTTTTCCCAATGTAAGAATTACCTGACTTTTCCACAGCATGCAGGGCTGTAGGTTTGAAAACCAGACTCTCACAACGTAAGCGATGGAATCGTTGTTGCAACTACGTAAGCGCTCATTGGTCAATATTTCAAACGTAGGAGTATTCTCTCTGGTGATTGGTTGGAGCTAGTGCTCAAAAATTGCGTCGCAAGCATGAGATAATGTTGAACACTACATGTCGCTGTTTACCAGATGAGCAAAATTTATTTCTACCAGCGAGTCAGAGAAAGTCATTTAAACTGATTAAAAAGGGGTTTTGTTCTTATTAAATTCAATTAAAATATTAATAGGTAATATAAAATAAATATATTTAGATACTGATGTTTACCAGCATAAATTTGTAGTTTTGAATCAAAAACATGTCAGAAATAAAACTATGAGTTATTAGTTCAAAGCCCAATAAATACCCAACTACGTGTAATAAACAGAGAGAGAGAGAGAGAGAGAGAGAGAGAGAGAGAGAGAGAGAGAGAGAGAGAGAGAGAGAGAGAGATTCATACATACATGGTAATTATTTTTCAAAAGGTACTCATTTTTGCTTTAAACAGGAAAAGCATTGATGTTTTTAGATTTTGCAATAAATATATAAACTCCTCAACTAAATAAAACAAAAAACGATTCTGACAAAAAATAACAAGCAAAAAATATATATAAGTGCAGCTTCGTTTTACTGTTTGTTCTTTGTTTAAAGAAACTCTTAATATAATTACTATTATATGTCATCTGATTTGACTGATGGCCATGAACTCTGTCTTTAGGAGATTTATATGTTTTATTTAGGTCAGCTGAGTGGAAACACGAGAACCCAGTCCTTCAGTGTTTGGCAGCCGTGGGCCGGCTGATGGCCTGCTCCTGGAGGCTATCACAGCTCAGCAGAACACCAGTATGGTTTTTCTGGTGAGAAAAACATAAATTTAACAGCTGAAATTAAAGTAAATAATACAATTAGAGAGTGGTGGTAGAAGAAAGTAACAGAGTGATGAAAGTCTAGGCCTATAGCAGCATAGCTACAGAGATAACTCAGGATACCCCAGCCTTTTAGATGGAGGGGTGTGGGAGGTAGGGCCAGGGACAACTGTCCAATATTGTATTCTACCCCTGGATTCAGACACAGCCTGTTTACCAACTTGGGAGGTAGAGCAGGTCATCCAATAGTTGGAAGGTTGGTGGTTTGACTCCAGCTCCTTCAGTCTGCCATTGAGCCCTTGGTCAAGGCACTTCCTCCAACATGTGTGTGAATGTTATATAACCACATTCCAACTTTGTTCTACCCCCAGAAATGGAAAAGATAAACTTGTTCATTCATCATCAAGTCTTTTTTATTTTTGGAATGAAAGAGAGTCTGTTCTCCATATCAAAAATCTCCTAAACTACCTCTGTGAACATTCAGCACGGAGTCATCCTCAACAAAGACGCTCATTCTGTCTGATATTGGAGACTGTGTCCTGGGACAGGAGTGATGTCATCCTGCCAGAGATAATCCCTCTGTAATGGTCTAACGTTGTGAGATGTGTGGTTATGTATCAGAGGTGAAAGATCTTATTCTATTTAAGAGCTTTGGTTCCTGATAGGTTTTAGTTTCCCCCTCAGGACAAGCTTCAGCTCTGTTTGTTCTCCTTCAGAAGAAAACAAATCTGAATCACACAAAGATAAAGTTTTGAACTGAGGATTATCTTTATTTAGATGAAAAAGCCAAACCACCTAGGTCCTGTGTGAAAAAGCTACTGACACCCTTTGTTAAATCACAAAGTAAATGTGATTAATCACATTATCTAGAACTCTGAGTTCTAATGAATTAAGAATTTACATCAATAACACCTGTCTGAAAGTATCAATTAGGCTAAAAGACCTAAAAAGGCAACACAACAGGCCTTTGTGTAATTAAAAACTATATTACAGTGGCCCTGAAGTGCAAAGCACAAAAACAAATCACTTAACGCAACAACAAATTGAAACACGCAACAACAAATCACTTAATGCAAAAACAAATCACAAAACGCACAACAAATTGAAAAGCGCAAAAACAAATTCACTAAATGCAACAAAAAATCACTAAGCGCAAAAACAAATCACTAAACGCACAACAAATTGAAAAGCACAACAACAAATTGAAAAGCACAACAGTTTTAAGGTAATTCTCACCATTGTGGACCGATTCTCGAAAATGTCACATCTGGTTCCCCTTAGGAAACTCTGCTCTGCCAAGGACATGGCCAACATCGTGGCGAGAGAAGTGTTTCGCCTTCATGGATTGCCCCTGGACATCGTTTCAGATCGTGGCCCTCAGTTCATCTCTGGCTTTTGGAAGGAGTTCTGTGCTCGTTTGGGCATTCAAGTGAGTCTCTCATCCGGTTTTCACCCCCAGAACGACGGTCAATCGGAGAGGATTAATCAAGAGGTGGAGACCAGACTTCGTATACTCTGTGAGGATGATGCAACCTCCTGGTCACGTAACCTGCCTTGAGTGGAGCATGCCCTCAACTCCCTTCCATCAAGCTCCACAGGTGTGTCCCCATTCTATGCTGTCTATGGTTTTCAACCTCCCGTGTTCTCCCTGCAGGACCATGTGTCCAGGGTTCCATTGGCCTAGAAGGCCGCTCTCAGGTGTCATTGGGCTTGGCGGGTAGCCCGCAGGAACCTCGTCCGCTCCTCTGCAGTCTACTCCCGCTCGGCCAAACCGTCGCTGCATACCTGCTCCTGTCTACAGTCTTGGGCAGAAGGTCTGGTTGTCCACTTAGGATGTTCCCCTCCGGGTGGATTGCCGTAAGCTGGCTCCTTGATTCATCGGACCCTTCCCTGTGTCTAAGGTCATCAATCCTGCAGCGGTCCGCCTCTGTCTCCCCAGGCCGCTTCGCATCCATCCCACGTTCCACGTCTCCAGGATCAAGCCCGTCGTCTCCTCGGCACTTGTGCCTGCCTCCAGGCCTCCTCCGACCGCCCGGCTGGTGGGGGTGGGCCGGTTTGGTCAGGCGGCTCCTACGATCCAGGCGCTGGGGTCGGGGACTTCAGTACCTGGTGGATTGGGAGGGGTTTGGCCCTGAGGAGCGTTCCTGGGTCCCCGCCAAGGACATCCTCGATGGGTCCCTCATCCGCGACTTCCACCGGACCCATCCTGACCAGCCTGTTGGACCGGCTGGTGCCGGTCCTTGAAGGGGGGTACTGTCATGATCCTGTTCCTGCCGTGACCTGTTGCCACAGCTCCATTCATTCCACCTGTTCCGTCATCAACCTTATTCACCACACCTGCTCCTCCTGCTATATAAGATCCATCCAGCTACCAAGTCATTGCCAGATTATTGAAAGCCCTGCTAGTAAATTCTCCAGCCTTTTACTCACCTTGTCTTCAGATCCCGAACCCTGCTCTGTTCCCGACCTCGTCTCCTGGATTACCCTGTCTGCTCTGTTGCTTCTCCGATCCTCTGGTTCCGATCCTATTCCATTTCTGACCTCAACTCTTGGATAACCCTGTCTGCTCCACTGCTTCTCTGGTCCTCTGGCTCCGATCCTGCTTCGCTTCCCGACTTCGCTTTTGGGATTTCCCTTATGGACTATTCTCACTTCTGACCTCCTGGTAACTACCTCCTGCCTCCTGACCTAGCCTCTGCCTCTCTCCTTTTAATAAACATTGTTAACTGTCATTCTGTGTTGGGTGTTTTTACGGATCCGCCAGTCAGCTCGTGACACAAATCAGTAAATTCATTTTGTCCTCAAGGGCTTCTGTAGAAGGAAACATGGCATGTAAAATGGCGTCGCCCAAAGACTTAGGGGGTGTTTCTCAATGCCAAGTGTTATGGAAATTTTATGATATTTCTTGATCATTGATTCAATCAAGTGAATGTAACATGTATTACTCTATGCCTCTTTGCATGCTCACTTATCCAGACACATCCACACAAGCCACTCACACACACACATTCTTGACTCCCCACACACACACACAATCTCTCTCTCTCTCACTCCCATTTCTTTCTTATCTTTTTGTTTAAATAAAGTCTGTGACCAGGTGTTCGGGGCAATTTGCCTCGTGCATGTGCCACAGTTATAACTGGTTGACTTGTTGCTCAACGTGTTTCTCCTTTTCTCTTCGATCAGGAAATGGGTTATTGGTAAACATACTGATAAAATCCATAACACCAAGGAACCTTGCCTTGATGTCTTGGCCCCGCCCCGGTTGCCTAGGAGATACGTCATCAGGAGCCGCCAAGACGTGTTCCAATGTTCATGTTCTACTGTGACAGTGTGAGCGTCCTGTCACAATGTCCCGATTGATCATGCGCCCTGGCTACTTGGCCAGGGGGATGTCCCTTTGGCTGACTGGTTAGAGCTATGACTCACCCGGGAGTCTGGGGATCAAATCCCGCCCGGGCCCTCGTTTATCCATCTTGCCACACCACCAAGGCGTGTGTTCTCCTTTTGTTAGTCGTTTAGCTAGCTGAGTGAGGATACACGGGAGGTGTCTTGTAGCCTAGCCTTGGTCAAAAATTACCCAGAATACACTGCGGTATTTTAAAAAGGACGGCGGATCAGAAGCCGGCAGCTACTTTGGGG